CAGAAACACAAAGATAAAAACTGGGAAATCAATATCGAACGTTAATATCAGCCCAACTGACCCACCTTTATTTGTTTTTTTATCTTTTTTGTTTAGTGCACAAAATCGGAAATCGGATAACAGATTGGTTCGTAATCCGTTTTTTTCGTTTTGGTTCAATAAACGAAAAAACAAAAAAAAAAAAACCAAGTGCTTTTTTCATTTTTTGTTTCAAATGACAAAATGAACTGCCTGAATGTACACGGACCCAGTTTTACATATCGGACCGATACCAATATTAATACTGATATATCGTGCATCCCTGTAAAAAAAAACCCAACTGACTCAGGTCTGAAAAAACAACAAGACAATTTAAATTCTGCTGAGTTTATCACCGATCCTGTAGAAGAATGTTCATCACCTGCTGCCAACAAGTCTGTTAGCAAAATATCTTATGAACTGGGTGGATTTTGATGCCATGCGATCATTTTAGTAGCAGGTAATAAATTAAAAACATTAAATGAAGTATTCTCCTGAACTAAACGAAAAAGCTGTAAACAAACTGTTACCTGATGGTGACCAGCTGACCAAAGTCCAGCTCATAGTCATTAACCTGAGCGATAAATATGGCCGCCACCGCCTCGTACAGCGCCGTGCCGTCCATGTTGATGGTGGCTCCGACAGGCAGAACGAAGCGGGCGATCTGACGGTCCACGTGGCAGTTCTCCAACAAGCACTTCATGGTGATGGGCAGCGTGGCCGAGCTGAATCCCACCAGACAAAGATCTGTTTTTATAAAATGAAAGGAAAGTCCAGGGGTTGACTGTTGGAACTGGACTGACCTGGAGGAGGTGGCCAGGGCGATGACCATGGCCTGCAGCAGCCCACGGATGTATCTGAAGGGGTTCTTCCTGGTCAAGATGAGGTAGAACAACGGAAGGAGGATGAGGCCGTGAACAAAGAGGCCAGTGAGCACGGTCACTCCGTACCAACCCAGCTTCTTCCCAAGCGTGCTCGGGTCCTGCATGTCCAAGATCTTCCCCGCCACCAAGAAGATGATCCCGAACGGGAAGTACCTGAGGAGACAAGACACAACAAAGCTCATGGTATCTGTTGGGAATGACTGTCAGCTACTACCACACCACGTTTAACCCAAGACTGAGACAAACTCAACACTGAAACTAACTCAACACTGAGACAAACTCAACACTGAGACAAACTCAACACTGAGACAAACTCAACACTGAAACTAACTCAACACTGAGACAAACTCAACACTGAGGCAAACTCAACACTGAGACAAACTCAACACTGAAACTAACTCAACACTGAGACAAACTCAACACTGAAACTAACTCAACACTGAGACAAACTCAACACTGAGACAAACTCAACACTGA